GAGAGCCTTCTCCTATCATCTGACCCTCCTCTGATGCAGCTGTAAGCCCTTACTTTGCATCCTCTTGTTACCAAAGAGCTGAGGGCAGTACATGCCTCTCTGCTCCTCTTGTGAGGCCAGTGAGGGTCCTTACACTCTTCTTTACACTGAGCGAGCTAAAGAACCTCAGCTGCTCCACAGAAGTCATGCATTTCAGTCCTTCCAGTATCCGTTGCCTTACTTTGGACACAACATAATGCTATTACATCTTTCTTGCACTGTAGTGCCCTAAGCTGCAGGTAGTACTTGGAGGTGTGCTGCACCAATGGTGAGTGCAGCGGGCCAGTCACTTCTTTCAGCCAGCTAGCTGTGCTGTGTCCGACGGCCCCAGGACTGGGTTGGTTGGCTCTTTTGGCTGCCAGGGCCACACTCCTGTTCCCTTTTCCCCAGGATAGGCTGGAGCTGCTTGGCTCCCTTATCCATACTCTGTTCTGAGATGGTCTCAGGGCTACAGTATCACTATTCAAGACACTGACTTGGCTTCTTTCTGCCCTGCAGTTTCCACTCAGCCCATCAGCGAGGAGACTGTCCGTTCTGACCTGCTGATCCCGGCTGTACGGCCTGCAGACGCAGGCAACTACACCTGCACAGCCGCCAACTTCTTGGGCAATGCCTCGGCAGCCATCATGCTCCATGTGGGTACCTCACCAGCCTTTGCCACGCAGCCGGGCTGGGCCGCTGCCGCCCCAGTTGAGCCAGGCGCCCATGTGGAGGTGCGTATTGCCAAGCAGACAGTCTACGGCATCACCCTGGAGTGGTTTGCAGCGGCGGCAGTGGCAGAGCCGGGAGAGATCTGGTACACGCTGTTGGTGGGCCGCTACGACACCGCGCAGAAGGACGCCATCTATATCGGCCCCGGTGTCAACACCTATTCGGTGACCGACCTGCTGCCCGCCACCAAGTATGAAGTCTGCGTGGCTGTTCGCAACCAAGCGCCCCGCAAGGGCCAGTGTGTTGTCTTTGTAACAGGCAGCGACATCAGCCAGCTGGAGCAGCGCGAGAAGCTCATCCACATTGTTGTCATCGTCTGCGCCATGGTGTTGGCTGTGCCCGCCGGCATGTACGCCTGCACCGCCGAGGCCCGTCCCGGCTGCCTGGCCCGCTGCCCTGCTGCCTGGCCCCGCCGCCGCCGTGGGGACAAGCAGCCAGGTGCTGGCAGCAAGGAGAGCACACTGGACAGCCTGCCCGGCGGCAGTCAGGATGGACTCTGCCGTCCTGATGGTGGCCGTGGTGCCCGGCGGCCCCCAGCACGTGAGGAACCTGAGCGCCCCGGCAAGGCCCGGTTGCCCCACAGGAACAGCGCTGACCTCTATTAGCACAGCCCCCTCCCCAAACATATCTGTGGCTGCACGGCCTGGTGAATGGTCTCCATCTTGCTGGCTTTCCCCATGTGGCACAGACATGGAGCATGGTGGGGTGTACGGCCAGGATCTCCAGAGAGCTCGGTGCCCCAGGACTGTGGGGCGTGCACCCCAGCACCCCAGGCTGCCAGCACTGCCACAGAGCAACATGCATTGGCACACAGACATACACTGAGATGCACTCAATCAACCTAACAAACAACATAGCAAAAATATTTTGCAGTCGCTTCTTAAGAAATGTTTTAAAGCCATGGTGTGACTGCTTCAATCTGGCATGCAAAGAAACAAACATTAACAAAATCACAGACCCTACAGCTCAGTAGAAGCACGTGCAGTGACAGGATAGAGCTGCCTGCTCTTTTTCACATAAACATCTTTTTTTTTTTTTTTTTTTAAAGTATTTTTATTATTATTTCTTTATTTTTCCCACCCAGGAGGTGGTAGGCATGGAGGTTGGTTTCAGCTCCTCCCTGTGCCAGGTGTGGACTTCTGTTGGCTGCCAAGTGGAAAAGAAGGTGAGGGTGTGGTTTGGAGTGCTTTTTTGTTTGTTTTGAATTCTCCTTTGTTGTTTTCTTACTCCTGTGAACCAGCGTAATGTGACAGCAGTGCAGGGTTTTACTTGTTTTCTGATGGGAATGCTGTATGTAATACAGAGGGAAGGAATATTTACCTGTGTCTAAAACATGCGTCTTAGACGAGCAGTTTAGTTTCCTGCGTAGCCATGCTTTTGCATAACAAAAACTTGCATATCTAATGCCTTTTGTTACACAAGTGTTGTGTGAATTTATTTATTTTTTAATACTAAGAACAAGAGCTGGTGAATGAACATCTTGGTTTTTGTGGACAAATACTCAACCACTGTTTCCATTTCAATTCTTACCACCACTTCTCTCAGCTTCCCCAGGAAGGCTTGTGGCAGTGGCTTTGGAGGTGATGTGGGAAGGTGATGGGGATACTTGGCATGACCCTTGCCATTGGGACATTGGCTGCCAACCCTGTACGGGTATGGCCATGACTGTAGGGCTTTGGCTGCTGTTGAGTGTCGTGAGTCTAAGCAGCAGCCAGGCCCCCACCCCAGACAAGGATGCACCACCAGTCTCTCCTGCTGCTTCACAACCCACACTTGCCTTCTTGCTGGAGGCAAAAAAACCCGAACACCCAAATACGCATGTGGGAGCAACTGGCTCAGGCTTGCAGAGCAGCTGCATTTTTTGAGAGGGTCTGAGGACACATGACTCATCTTCTTTTTTTTTGACCTTGTGATTTCCAGCACAAACAAATTATGTGGCTGGCAGACCCACAGCCCTTGTTCTATAGGTTATTGTAGACTTTGTCACAAAAATAAACAAAACAAAACCAACCAACCAAACAAAAAAAACGAAAACAACAACAACAAAAAAACATCCCAAAAGCCAAAACCAAATCAGAATAGAGACCTTGGCTATAGTTGGAGGGACAAAAAACTAATGTGAGCTTTAGCATGTGGCAATTTGGCTTCTAGTTGTGTTTGGGTGACGAAAGCTAGGCTTCCCTGTGTATGTTCTGTGCTGTTCAAACTCAGGCCCCATTTCCCTCTGCAGCACCTCCACCTGCATGGCTCCTAAACACAGAATTGCTCTGTCAATGCTGACTTTTGTTGTCATACCTGAAGGGGCTTCTTAGTCTTGTCTTAGAGTTAATGTAATAAACATGACTGGTTTTCAGAATGTGCAGTGTTCTCTGCTTTATTTCTGCTCTTTTGTCATTACAAATCACAAAGAAACCAGAGTGCTGAGCAGCGAGGGGCAGGGCTGAACCGCCTGACCTGGCTTTGCTGGGAAGGGCAGTGCTGGCTCAGCAGCGGACCCAGGCCCCTCTACCAATGTGCCCCAAAGGAGGGGCACTGCTGTCCCACAGAAACTGCCCAGCAGGGGCCATGGGGGCTGGCCTGGGAAGTCATCCCAGTCATGCAGCATACAAACAAGAAGGCGTCTCTGTCAGTGAAAACACACCATGAGAAGAAACACACTGTGAGAAGTTTTCAATATAGATATTTTTTGTTATTTATTAAAAAATTTTCTGAAGTTGAAATACAGAGTAACTGGAAAAGTCTCACAACATTATAATAAAACATCTTTATTCCTTCTTAAATATAATCTCTAAGACTATAAGCCTATAATTCCTGCTAAATCTCACTTAATTATATTTCACTTAATTGAATGGTCCTTATAGGCTTTCCTCATGGAGAATGAACGTTGAATACTGGTTTCAACACAACACTGGGAAAAGAGCGGAACACAGGATACATCACAAGGTTTTGGTGCCCCATGAAGCGCTGCAGAGCCCGGAGGAGACACAAGCCAGAGAAAGGAGCACATGTGTGGCTGTGGCCGTAGGACCAGGGCTGAGCAATTGTGATGGGGCTGCGTCTCCCCTTTCTCAAATGGCCATGGCCGGAGGATGTAGACACAGTGCGTGATGCAAGGACCTGAAGCCAAGAGAAGGGATGGGCAGCAGGCCCTGAGGGAAAGTTGGATAGATAACACAGGAGTGATGAAGGGCACAGTGGGAAAGGTAGTGTGATACCCGCAAGGGCTGCTCCTCCCTGCTGAGCATCCATCTCTCCACTGAGGGTCTGAGGCTTTGTCTGGCTCCAGGCATTGCACTCAGATTAAAGTGTCCTTAGAGGGCTCCTTAGAGAGATTTACAGCCACATGGTTCCTCACACAGCTCCTTGTGCAGCCCCAAGGCCAGGGACTGCTTCAGAGAAGTGTGTTCATGAGTGAATGTATATTATTTTGTGTTCCCCCACAAAACCAGGTAAACTGCTGTTTCTTGATGCTCTGCAGTTTTCAGTCCCTGATCTACATGGGGCCTGAGCAGCTGTGCCTCCCCAGCACAATCTGGGAGCTAGGTCCACTGCATAGCAGTCCCAGTGCTTCTAGAGCCTGATGCAGAGGAACATCCTGAAGCCCAGCCCTGTACTCTCCTCATAAGCTTGGGCCTACTGGCTGAGCAGCACTGGGCACCATGGCTCCTCTCTGCTGCTCCTGGATCAGTCCACTGGTGGCAAGAACATGGTATGGCGAACTGGAGTGAACAGAAGTTAAAAAAAATGGGATTGTTTCTGGTAAGTGGGTAATTTCTTGTTCAACATGCTAGCTCCTCAGGTGATGAAGTCCTGGTGCAAATGAAAGGAGTAGATCAGCTAATGGAGTGAGGGAAGAGAAGCCCCAGAGGGGCCAGGCTGCTGGTCCAGCTGAAAGGACTCAAAAAAACAGTTGTTTGAGAAGCCTCACAGCCCCCTTGGATTAATACAGTGTTCTGTCACTTAGGGTTTGCTCCCCATCTCAATGTTCGTGGTGTCCATCCATGACAGCCAACTTAAGGCAGCTGGTGCTACTGCCTTAAGGGGTGGGAGTGTGGGCGCAGGGTGCTTCTCCCCGGCCAGACCAGTGCATGCTGCCTTCTTCCCAGGTTCAGCTTAAAACATCTCCTCAGAGACAAGCGTGACATAGAAACTAGGGTAGACCCAGTAAAAATCTGCTCTGCCTCCAGTGCCCTTTATATACATATATGTACGTATATATGTATATACATATATATATACATAACTGGGAAAAAAAAAAAAAAAGTCTTTCCAGTTATCTGTTGCATTATTCAGGCAAAATGCTGCTAGTACAAACCAGAATGTTTTATGGAACCTCCTGTTACACTCTCCAGTCCCTGGAGCAAGCTGGTAGGGATGATGAAATCTGTTCTCCAAGCCCCCTGCTAGCATTATATAGAACCAAATTATCTTTCCCTGACCGATATGTATGACTTTCCAGCACTTTGTTTCTATTTTTCTGATATCATTTTTCTTTTGGTTTTACCTTATTTTCCCCACTGCTTTAATCACGTCCTTCTCCTGCCGGCTTGCCTCTCATTTGGGTATGTGATCAGAAGGAGGCTGTATCAGGTGAGCACTACTACTGAATTCTTGTGCTTGTATCCTGCCCCAGCTGTCCTCCCATCCTCAGGTTAGCTGACAATCTTGGGGCGGAGGGATCATGCCAATGTGCTCTGGCAAAACCCAGCATAATCTGCAGGAAAACAAAGAACTTTTCCAAGCCTGCACACAGGATGAAGGGTGCTGTCGCCATTAGCACATTATTCCACCAGCTGCTGCACTGCACATCACGCCTGAAGACAGGTCTCACCTGCACACAACTTGCTCTCAGCGTTTTGTGAGCTGGTGCAGAAGGAGACCTGCACACTGCCCCTGGTGCCACAGCCAGAACAATGCCTTCTGAACTGGTTATGGGTTTTGAAGTGAAGGGTTTTTGAACGCCTCAGCTCCACCTACCAGACCTGATTAGAAGTGACATCTGCAGAGTGCTGACTAAGGGTCTCTGGAACAGGGGCAGCCCAAAGACCTGCTCACTTTGGGAGGCTCTGGTTGGCGCAAGAGCATACGGAGCTCCCTGGTTAGACAGCTGCAGGGTGGAACAAGCTCTGGGATATGGGATGAAGGAACTGCAGTCCTAACTGGGAACAGATCACAACATTTGATACAGGTGGGGCGACTCCACAGCACATAATATTTCTGGAAGGTGAGGGATGGCTATCACAGCGAGAAGCTGCTCTCAGTTCACGGGTATTGACAGACAGGGGGAAGACCACGGCATATAACATACCCATGTGCAGCTGCAACCCACAGTCTCCGGGGCTGCCAAGAGCACCTAGACGTGGCCTAGATGTGTGGCTCACCCATAGCTGCATTTCTCTTCTCAAACTTCATTTTGAGCTCTGACACCAGGGCGTTGTGTGCACTGCTATGACCTCTCTTCTTCAGCTGCTTGTTGATGAACTTGGGAGTGAGGGAGCCGGACACAGTTGGCACCCGCCACACTGCGGTGTTCCCACTGGCGGCCAGGGCGGGGGGCGGCGGGGGCAAGGGAGCGGCTGGGGGCACAGGGGCTGCCTGGACGTTGTTGTTGCTGTTCTCGTTCTGCAGGCTCTTGGCATCGTCCTCAACGACAAACTTCTCCGCAGCATTACTAGGCCTCTTGAACTTCAGCCACTCCATCCTCACCGTGCGGGACGGCTGGGTCTGTCTCTTTTTTATGATCCTTCTTACCGGCATGATTTTGTTGGACCGCTTATTGCGCCAGAACATGGCAGTAGAGATCATGATAGTTATCAGCACCATTATGCCCATGACACCAGCTAGCACTCCTAAGGCTTTCATGGGGTTATCTTTAGTTTGCATCAAAAAGGCGGCCATAGGCCCTTTGTGAAGAGTCTGTAAAAGAGTACAAAGGAAACACATGACTTACTCTGTGGGACAGACAGTAACCTAGAAATTTCATTTGTCCAAAATATGTATTGAGCAGGGATCACTATTGGAAGTTGTCTCTAATGAAAAGGGAGAGCCAAAGAGCCAATCCAGCTTTGGGTAATTTAAAGCCTGGGCAAATGCTGCAGTACTGTGAAATGGATGGCCACCAAACACGAGTATGTGCAAGAGTAGTACTGCCAGATTAGGGTAGGCTCCTGTGTATCACTTAGCATTTGCTTAACTTGCAAGAACTGAGCAAGACAATAATTGGCTCTGGGAACTGCAGCAGTATTGTTGCACTGTACTGCAGAATTAATTTCCTAGGAATAATAGTGCTAAACCAGATATAGGTTTATTATTAGAAAATGGTCTTTCAAGAGCAGCCACAGGTGATACAGTGATGCACTTTACAGGACTATTACTGAATATGGCATTAAAAAGAATGAGAAAACTTTGTTTTATGAAATTACAGTATATAAATGAGTAATAAGCAGATATGTGCTGCATTCTGTTTTCAAGTACTCTTTTACAGACATAACAAAACTCTTCGAGGTAGGGGACATGAGTAGTACTAAAGAGCTTTGTTTTTAAAAGAAATAAGCAAAAACATAAGCTACATATGGCATATTAAGGACAAATGAATGACCAGTTCACTTTGCAGCTTAGCACAATGTGCGTCTTGGCGGTCCCCGTATAATTTTGCGGATTTTGCCCTGCGGGTGGAGCTTGGATCTTTTCACACTTTTCCAGTACATGATGGTAGAGATCACCATTGTTACAGAAATGGTGGAAAGGACGCCACTCATGCAAATTCCAAATATCGTCCATGGACGCTTCTTGAGGCCTAAAATATAGGTTTTTACCCTGGACTTGATCTGGAAACGTCAAAAATAAGAGAAACGGTCAACCCAAATGCAGTTATGCTTGAAAGAGGTGAGCACCTATTATAAATACAACTAGGGAAGTAGGGTAAAATGTGTACAGAACATGGAAAATAAAGAAAGATACGTGTCTTCACTTCACTTCTGTATTTTCATAAACTACCTCTGAGACCACTGTTCCCATATCCTAAATATTTCTGATTGCTAAAGAGAAATGGGCAAAGAAATGCTATTGAAAGTTATGGACCGTCTTACTTCAAAGGTAGGGAGAAACTTTCATTCACTCTTTGCTGTGCAAAGAGTGTTTCCATTATTTAATCAGCAACAGAGCTTAGCTAGAATACAGAAGCAGAGCAGCCCATGACTGTCAGGGCTTCACCATTCTGTATTACATGGGTACAGTGTACATGAATTCCATCAGATGGTTATAATGAGAACCAGCCCAGAAAAGAGCTGGGAACAAGTGGGCAGCTACAGAACTGGGATAGGAGTCTGGAATTAGCTGTATATCAGTTTTGAGAAACCAGAATTCTGCTCCCGGGACAAGATTACAATTCAAAACCTGAATTAACCAAACAGGATGTCCATGCCTCTTTCTGTTACCGAACTTGTGACTTTTTTCCTTTGGTTTTCACTTTTCTGCCACAGCAGTTTGCAGCAGGTGGGCATCACAGTGTGCACACACCTGGCAGCATCTCAAAAGCCTGTCATAATGCATGGGTTGCTGAGAGCAGATTGAGTGGGCAGCACATCCAGAAGCAGGACCCAAGAGGAGGAGCATGTGGTTGAGCTTTCAGCCATGAGAGCCGCTACAGCTCATTGGCTATATTTAGAAGCGTAAGTAAGCGGGCAAAGCTGTTAAGAGCCCAAGCCAGGTTGTGTCAACTTGAGCAGGTGGGTATGTAAAACCAACCAGCTGGTTCTGAGGAGTTCACTCCCACCTTTTCAGCATCCCTTGAGTTCTTCGATTAAATCTAGCCTTGTTTTAGGGATGGTCACAGAGTATGGGAGAGGAGGAAATTAATTCAAAGACGGTATTTGTTGAAACTTTCAATCAGGGGCATCTAAAACTAAGACTCACCAGCTATGTTTAGAAGTCTAAACCAGTGGCCAAAGCTATTAAGAACCAAAGGTATCACAGATTAAGCTGTCTAAATGTGGACTTAAGCCTCAGTCCCCAGAGAGCTGTAAATAAACACCCTCATATCCTTGCAGGGCTGCAAAAAGGAGGCAGTGGGATCCACCATCAGGCCATTCTTAGGATCAGCTACTACCAGTGAAAATCTTGGGCAGCAGGAATATCTCCTACTGTGATGTAAGGGTGAAAAAAGCATAGCTTTTTCAGCATGTGCTTCTTACTCTGTTGAAAAAGGATAGGAGGCTAACAGATGCTATTCAACACCAATTTCCCTAAAATGAAACTCAGTTAAATTAAAAGACTTCTGGAGTTTTTCATCGCTGTATTGTTCCAAGAGCAAAATTTGATGTGCAATACTGCTGAACTTAACCACAAGGCATCTATCTTGAAGGGCGCAGCCTTATGTTAATTGCAGTGGTAAATGTTAATCAGAAAATATGCCTGTTTAATTGCTTGGTGTGATTAACACTGCAAGAAATCCCTTAGAGAATACACTCAAAAGTATCCTTCTTATCCAAAATCAGTAATACTTAAATGACCTCCAGACAGCTAACTAAAAGAACCTTTTTTCAGCTGGGGCACAGAAGGAGGAAATGGACATTCATAACAGTCAGAGAGAGAGAGAATACATGGTGTCCCTAAAGCAAGAGCCTGCTTCCTTCACCAAGTGCTAGCAGTAATCATGAAGTGTCTGGGGCACAGGGAGTGAGCAGGAGCCTTCTACACTGCCGTAATACATCACTCAAGTGGAAGATGAAATTTGTGAGTGCTTTGTCAAATCACTACAAGCAGTGAAAGAAGTAGTGGAGAAATGTACAGAAGTTTCAGAGGACAGATGTTACATCAGATTAGTACTCCAGATCTCCAAATCCCTCACTTTGTGCCAGATATGTATGCCTGGATTGAAAGGAAGCAGAGACGGGCTGCTGTAGGAGACACCTTCTTTACATCAGGTGCTTATGTTGCTTCACACATTAGAAAGAAATCCAAGGAACTGTTAATCCCAAAGCACTAGATACTCCTTCTTTTCTCCCAGATATCCTTCATCCACAAGTGTAGAGGCTGGAAACAGCTTAGGTATGTATCATCTCCCCCCAGCAGAGGAGGTGTAGGGCTCTCTCACTCCCGTCAACACCCCTTAGCCCTGTACCTCAGTCCCTACAGGGCTGCAGCCCTGGTGGGTTGATGCCAAGAGCAGGGATGGGGAGATCCTCCTGCGCATTTGGTACTCAGAGTTTACCTTGTTGATGAGCAGAAGTGCTCTCTGCTGAAACTTAACTTCCAGCAAGCTCTGAAGCATAATCAAGGAGTGTAATATAAATCCACCTGATAAAGAGTATTAGTGGAAAAAAAGGAGGCAGAGAAAACAGGAAAAAATCACCTGGTTGCATCTTGAGCCAAAAAAAAAAAAGGAGAAGGTGGCGTGTGTAGGAAGAGATTTGTATGTTTACCCAGTCTGTGCCTCGTCCAGTGGCTAATGATGTGGATCTCATCCATATTAAAGCCCATTTCCTCCTTGCTGGTGCCTACTTAAAGACACGGCAAGTAACAATAAATAATAACCACAGAAGCATGCACTGCTCACCATAAATCGCTCCCTGCTCTTTGGTAGATGATAAAGTTGGACTAATGAGAAAGTCAACCTATGTGTTCTATCTTGTAGAGTCATCTCCTTTGCTAATAATACTGAAATTACAAAACTCATATTCAAATTTCTATATACTTAACAAAAACCTATAAAGTCTCCTCGCTATTCCTGCACCACTAATTTTGATTTGCAAAAATGTTCTGACATATCTCACTCCGTCCCCAGGCACTTTTCAGTCACTTTTTGTGGGAGAAAAGTATTTTCCTTTTTTAAGCGTGAACAAAAGGTCAGAGATTTGGCAGTCAGCATTTATTTTTACTCTCAGGAATCTATAGTCCTTAATTTTCACCTGTCCCTAACAATCAAATGCAAGAAACTCGTAATTGGAGAACTGGAAGGCATGTCATATAACAGGAATCGGCAACACTGGATCGTTAAACTTGAAGAAGGGGAGGTTAACAGGTGAACGTAATGCTCTCTGCAACTTTTTTTCTGAGGAGAGGAAGTGGAGTGGGTTATTTCCTCCCAGCTACCTAATGGTGGGATACATGTGAATGGCTCTAAGCTGCATTGGGGGAGGCTCAAATCGGACATTAGGAAGAACTTCTTTGCCAAGATGGTAGTTAGACACTGAAACAGGCTCCCTGTGTGTTTAGGAGGCATTTTGATAATGCTTTAATGCTTGGGTTAGTCTCAAAGTTCTATGGCAGACAGTTGGACTCAATGATCTTTGTGGTCCATTTCAACTGAAACTATTCTATTCTAGCTCCCTATCATGTTATGCTCCTACCTTTGTACCTTTGCAGTTTTTCTGACCAAAATACCTTCTACATTTGTGTCTGTGGAATGTTCTGTGCTACAGAGCTACCAAAGAAAGAAGCAGTGGCAGGCAACATTTTTTCCTGACAATTTCAATTCCTGAACTGTTTTTAAAGATGTCTTGGAAATGAAACAAGCAATAGCTACACTTTGGTGCCTCTCAAGAGTCATCCCACCTAAGAATTTTTCTAAAATGTTTTCTTACCTCCTCCGTGATATCAATCTTCAGAACTGCTGTGGTACTGAAGGATGGGGAGCCTCGGTCTTTGGCCTGCACCACCAATGACCATATGCAGTCTTTGTTCTTTGTAATGTTGTGGATGATGTCCAGGGAACGGATATAGGACTTCAGCTTGATTTCCCCCGTGCTTTGGTCTATATCAAACACATTGGCTGGATCTGCTTGCATGATGGAATAATCCACAATGTTGTTTGGTTCTTCTGCATCTTGATCTATAGCCTGGTAAGGAAAGTGTAGAGAAAAAGATGACAGTGCTTGTGTCTTTGCCCAACGACAAAACTTTAGAAGTTTCTGAGCATTAAATTCTGATAATATCCATGCAGTAAAGTTACTGATCTGTTTAAGTTTGGCCTTGGAAACAAATTATCCTTTCCTGACATCAGCTGCGCTATATTTACTTGTGAAAAACATCAGTGCTAGCAATGTAGCATTCTGTAAATGATATCTATTTCAGATTAGAGGAAAAAAGAGGAAAAACTGTAGAATGCACATGGTCCATTGCTAGGGACTATCTCACGCAGTGTTGTGGACAAAAGTTGAAGTGAATAGAGAACAACTGGATTAGCTCCATGCACTTTATAGATGCCTTAAGATTTGTGCTGTAGTTTTATTCTACTCATGCTAGGTGTTGCACATTCAGGCTTGACTATATAAGTTCAAATAGGTGTAACATAGGATGTTCTGCTCCTTCGCCTGTGGACTGCTACTGCAATTATTTTTAACCCCCGTTCTGCACTGGATCATTATGTACAGTCCTGCAAAACGAAGGGAAAGAGCACAGTGGCATCACAGGAATGTTAAGCAAGTTGGGTTTCTTATGATCACTGTATAATTCAAGATTCTCCACCAGCTAACAGTTCAAATGCTGTAATAGAACCATATCTTTTACCTGTATAATTTTATTTCTCCTTTTCAGCAGCCTGTAAATACTATTTTTCCATGCTGTAATGCATTTGTTACATACAAATGGGTGTGAAGAGTAAAGCCTCAGAAAAAGGCAACCTTCAGGCATTTGTCATGATGATCCGTGAGCAATAAACTGCATAGCTGGGGCTTTTCCAAAGCACTCTGCTTTGTGACACACTATGTTCTTTCTCACCTCTATCTTCACTGGTGACCCGATGATCATCGTCTTTTCCTGGATGTTTTCATTGAATTCTGGAGAGTGGTCATTGACATCTAGCACAGTGATAAACACTTCAGCCAAGCTGTATTTCCCATCTGTGTCCTCTGCTTTCACGTAGAAATTATACTTTGAGTTCACTTCAGCATCTAATACAGCCCAGGGTTGGGTGTAGATTATACCTGTCGATGGGTGGATTAGGAACCTGGAAAAGAAGCATTGAGAGACTTATGGGGTTTGTTTGTTTGTTTTCTATTTGGTTGCTTAGTGTGTATTTGTATTCTAGGGTTAAGGTGGGTTCTAAACACTGAAAAACTTGGGGCACGCTGTGCCCCAAGGATTAATATAGTTCACCAGCCTCATGCCAGAGTAATGTTTCTGAATCATTCATTCTGCTTGTCTTTAGGTCTGGAAGTCACAAAACAGTGTTTAGTGTTTTTCTATTCACTGCTCACATCATTTCAGCTGCATTTTCTGTTATAGGCTTTGTCCTGAATAAATGCTCACCATGTTGGCCTTCTCCCAGAATAATTTCTTTGCATTAAAACATTAAGGAATTGCCTATTCCTTCAGTTTATAAGAAGTGCAGTGTATTAGATCGTGTTCTAAATAAATTGAGATTGATTGATGTATCCTTGATAGCTAATGGAAGTTTGCTGCATATCATTTTTAAGCTCTTTTCTTCTTAGAATAGGTAAGAAAAATAACTGTTCTCAAAGTCCCAAAACTGCAGGCCAAATTATTTCTTCCAAAAATAATCACTTTTCCACAGACTGGCACTGGGATGAAGTGGGTGTTCAGATTTATCTGTAGCGAGTTCAATTCTATACAATTGTAATTACTGAGACACTGTCAAAAGTGACAAGCAAAAGCTTGAATTTATAGAGAAGATACTAACACACTATCATTTGTAAATGGACTGCCAATGTAGGCTCCAAACAGCAGGGTTTTTAACAAATAGAAGGTTTTACATACCCTTTAATTAATGTAAAGAATGACAAAACATTTTCTGTACTACAGATGTGAGTACGATTGAGAGTGATTATAAAACAAGCACTTAATAAATGGGATTCATCAATTCTTTCCACTTATCTGTTAAATACAAATACTAGACCCAGTGGTGGAAAGAGTTGTGCATACTCTTGGTAGCAGTCAGTGCCTGTGCTGAGTGCCTTCTTAATGCCCAGCCCAATGAAACCTTGTAGAGAGACTCTCACCATCCCCATCTTAATGGAAGAAAGAAACACAGAGAAGTGAAGATATTGCAGCAATGTGCCCCACTCCCAAAGTCAGTTTGGAGGGAATAGTACTGATGTAATGATTATGTCTTCAAGGGCTATCAACATTCCTCTTACTCAAGAAAAAATCACTTTTCTGCCAGCATAACTGCATTTATGCTGCTGTAAAAGAAAAAAAAAAACATGTTCCTAATTGAAAATCTCAAATCTGTGCATTCAGTGATTCTGGAGGTCCAAAACTCGAAATCAGTCCAGCCTTGGAGAGCCATGCCAGCCTGGCACAAGCAAAACAAACAAACAAAAAAAAACACCAAACAACAACAACAAAACAAAAAAAACCCACCCAAAACATATTTAAGAACAGACAAAGTCTTGATATCCTAATTTGCTCATTTGGTGGTGTAAGAACAGAGTCTGAACATCCCCGCAACTCCAATCAAAAGAAAGTATTACCTACACCTTTTTCTAAATCCTTTGTCAGAAACCTTAACAAGCTTTGTTGCAACAGATGTTACATTTTAAACCAGAGAAGTCTGCCCCTATGACATGACCTCTGCCTGCTTGCCTTTATGCAGCTAGCTTAAGGATTTACTGAGTAGATCAAAATAATCCGACCTGGAAGTGCTCCCATATGTGTACCTTTCTGGCTACAGAAGAGGTTCACCCTTAGCATCTTGGATTTTGGACTTTGACAATGTCTTCTAAATGGCTTTTACCCTAACAAGAGGAGTTCAACTCTAACTCCAGGGGATAAAGCCTGGAGAAAAATGGATTGCGGGGATGAGTGCCTCAGCAGCTCGTTCTTTTCCATGTTCTATGTTCAGGAGATGCAACTTCCAGCAATGATATCTGTGACAGCCTGCTGATGCTAGGCAAGGCTAGGAGCCCCAGTCAACAGACCAGAGCAATCACTGGGATGGGAACAGTGTGGGCAAAACCAGTGTATTGGGATGCTCTTACCCCTACATTCCAAAGGCAGGGAAAGGGAACTAGAGATCATTACACCATCAAATAAGGATCAAATTCCATTCTTCCCTGATGTAGGGCGATAAGGTTTAAATATATAAGATGCCTTGAACATTCAATATAACTGGCCTTCGAAGTTCAGGTTTACATCTTTGAAAGTATTGACTTCTTTGATTTATTTTGACAGGAGTTGGAACTCAACTATTTGTACAGCTACACGGAAAGGGAAGCTAGAGAGCAAGGAATTTTTTCCCCCTATAGTGAGCTTTTCACAACTAGACCAACATCTCTCATTTCTCTTGCACATGTGCCTTAAGTCTGTTTGCATATCACTTAATTTTCCTTTTTTACTTACAGATCTGCTCCCGTTCCATAGATAGAGTACTTGACTTCTCCCCAAAGCCCAGAGTCTGGATCTGTAGCCTTAAAAGTAGAAGAGACAGCCATATTCTTAAATTGCAAAAAGAAATGTATTCATTTTTCCTTTAAAAACAAGTCACTTAACAGTGAAAAGACTTTTCCCTCCTTATCCCAGAACATTTTTAGGAGGAAGTCGCATTAACAGTTGTGCTCTTCGAAAACTGCCATTTATAAATTATGGTGATGATGATTATTTTTTAACGCAGGGAAAAGTTCTCCGTTGACACAAAGAAGTGCCAAAGAGTATTCCCAGGAAGGCAGAGAAGATGCCGTCGGACTCCTGGCCAGGCTGGTGCCGGAGGCAAGCCGCTAGGTGGCTCTATTTGTTGACATTTAACGCATCCTTCCTTTACGAGCAACGAAGTCGATCTCAATGACACAAACAAATTGCCTGCTATCAAGCCTTCCCAATTATCATTTAAATATTAATGCACATTCTCTGGTCATAATAATTTACTTTATCCAGAGGATGTTTTTTTTTAATCTGCTTATTTAATTGATTCAGTTTAAAGTAATGCATAACAAAAATTTCAAGTTATTTCAAGTTATACTTAATAATCACTTTTAAAAATGCAGATACTACATCAGATGATGTCTTTGTCCTGGACTCTTGTAAAACATTCTGCATGTGCAGGATTCTCTTTATCCAGTGAATCTTGCTTTGTGAAATATATTTATGAATGCAGATCAAGCACTGAGTTGGTGCCACTTGAAAATAAACTTCACATGGAATCTTCAGCTATGCTGTCCTTTTCACCTTGGCTCAGAATGGTTAGTTTTGCTTCTTTGGGAAACTTTCCATAATTTTTTTTTTTTGTTGTTATGTACCTTGTGGAATTGCCTACTTTTCTTGCTGCAAATACAGTGGTGTATGGAGTCAAGGTGACTTGTTTTGTCTGCCAATCCCCATGCAGCCAGGAGCTCTGGGACATGGGATGTGTTTCCCAGCAGCTGCATTGAAGAGGTACAGCTTGCATCTAATGGCTTCCAGCCACGACTCCAGCACAGCACCCATATAACACTCTGATTTTATGAAAATGTGAGATACAAGAAAATTTATAGGCATATTATTCCCTCTGTGAGGAGATGCTTACAGGAATCTTTCTTTCCCAGCTCTAAGCATTTCAGTGTCATAGTCTTCCCTTAATAACTGTCTAATTAGGCATGCAGCAGCCAGACTCTCCCCAGGAAGAGGAGACTAATACCCACTAAACAGCCATCTTGTTTTCTTTTTACTTGTACTTAAGCAAGAAAATCCAGTAAATGTAATTCCACTTAGCCATAACCAAATATTTCCATTGGACAGGGATTTGACTGCGGCCTTCCTGGTATTCAGTGATCATGTGATTTATCTTAAAAGCAGATGGCCTTTAATTCAAACAAAAATAAATAAAACTTGTTCTGAAAAACAGTTTAAAAATACTGATATCTATCTGAAAAATATTTATCAGTATTTTAAAAAATTATTATTATTGTGTTGATTCTGGAAAGGAACTGGAGCTGAATCCAGAAGCAATGTGGCAACCTGGCCTTTTAGGATCCCTTCCAACTCAAACAATTCCATGATTTTATGATTTTTAAGGCCATCAAACTGTCTGCACAAATAGCTAGAAAAGAGAACATTTATTTACAAGTGAGTAAAACTTACAGTTACAGCAACTACATTTGAGCCCCCTGGAGAGTTCTCGGGGATCCTGGCAATGTAGTAATCAGAGGAGAACTTTGGGACATTGTCATTGGTATCCAGCAGGCGTATCGCTACATCAGCCGTTGAGCTGAATTTCTCTGGTGTGTTCACCTCTATTGCAAGAAGCTACAGAAAAAGAAACAGAAAATGACTAAAAAGCACATTTTGTATCCTAGTGAAAGCTTTGAGCTTCTGATTGCACAGAAGGGTTACTGCCACGGAGCTCTTGCCCACTTTTGTGCAGCTCCTGAGCTGAGGGCTGTGGGAGCTTCTCTTCCCTGTGAGTTGGAGGAAGGCTGCATTGCCCATAGGTGGCAGGGCTTGGAGCAAGAGTTTGAAGTAGGTGGGGAGAAGACCACCAGCATCATCTTTTGGAAATGTCACTACTGGGTAAACAGGTGTAGTGGCTAGGAATAAATAGCTACGGGATTCCTGAAGGCTTACAACCTGAAGGATTGCTTGAATTACCTCAGGGCACATATGTTCTCAAAGGAGATCTTGTTGCCATGTCTCTACAAACTTGTGTTCTTGGGTGATTCAGAGGGTTTTAGCAAAATAAATTTTTAGAAGTAGAGTCAGGCATCACCAAATCTGCATGTGAGCAATCACCTCCTAGATCAGCACACAGATAAAATCTTACTGCTTATGATGCATGTGGTGCTGTAACTAAATTATAGCATCTGCAGTGAAATCATCTTTGGTGATAGAACTGGCCCATCCCAATGTGCCTTCTGACAGCTTAGTGCTTTGACTTTCTGTTTACGTTCATTTTCATTCCCTGTCCATTCAGCAGCTACAGTCTGGCTCTGTCAGCGCACCAGCAAATACTTCCCACAGGATGGGATTTTTGTCAGATTTCTGATCTGCAATGTATTATGCAGTGCTACAAGCAGAGAGAGAAAAAAAAAAAAAGCTAGAACTGTTACTTCACAGGACTGCATAGCAGCAATTAATACAAGTGCCAGAAAAGTAGACAGATATAACTTTAAAAGTGGCAGGAGATTCTTTAAAATAGACTTTTATTTTGGCAACCGAGGATAGTTGCAGCTGCGTCTGGTCCCCAGTCTGCAGGAGATGTGAGTGCCTGCAGACAGAGGATGGTGGGATCGGGCTCTCCTCAAGGAGGGATGTGCTCTGAGCCAAAAATGAAGGGAGTCCTGACAGCTGATGGAATCTAAAAGCCATCTCTGAACGGAAGATGTATTTTCTCTGGCGGCTTTTGCCTTGGGTGGTGCTTTGGTGTGCCTCCCTGTTGAGTCTGCTTTAATATCTCTCTAGCATTTTGCTGTTCAATAACAAACCAGAGAAACTGAATTGTTGCTTATAGGAAAAAAGATTTAAAAAAAAAAATAGTTTCTCAAAGCTGCTGTGGGATACATGTTAAATAGAAATAAGAGCCTGTTTCACCCTAAAGTCTATGTAGAATGACTAGACTAGGTTAGCAACTATAACGAGATAGAAAGCAATTTTGACTTCTCAAGGAAATGGAGAAGGCCATGAAGTCTTTATAAAGTATTTGCTCAAATGTATCATTACCATATCATCCCACCGCACCTTCTTCATTTGGAATTTAGACAAAGGCTCTGCGTTTTTGGCAAAATCATTCGATATTTCTTCTGTAAAAATAATAAAACAAAAGTTTCCAGCATTCGGATGATTGCTGGCTCTTGTGTGGCTAGCTTGGAACATCGGTGAGATGGCCCCAGATCAGTCTGCAAAGGGCCACACAGGGGAGATACACTTTGACAAAGGCAGTGAGCAGTTTGGGGAAATTATCTTCTGGTCAGATGGGGTCTTCGGCCAGCCAGTATTCAAAGTATGATAATGAATTGAATTACTTCTGACTACACAGGTGAATTTCTGGCTCCAGGGAAATTAGAATTTCACCCTGTGAACCTAGCACTGTAAAAGTAGAAATAACACCCTTGGAACTTAGTCTGGAATGACTTGGACTATACACAATTTCCACTGATACTTAATACTCAACAGCTTGTACTGTCTGGAGTAAATTATCCCATAGATGGATCTATTAAGCCTTTCGGAAGTTGATGAAACACGGGGAGAAATGATTTTCCTTTCTATGGAATATAAAGTCAGTGGCAAATCATCAGATAGCTCCGGGTGGACGGAGGAGATAAATCCCTTCGGATTTGTCAGCCATCATACACATATCAGACACATGAGCAGAGGGGGTCCAGAAAGCACAAGTACCTTAAAGGTTAAGACCTTGAATTTTTCATAGTCAATAGCAGCAGAATTTTCCACTATTATTGTAACCTGAGCCTCATTCAGGACCGTCTGGGGAACAACTCGAAAAATGCCACCGGGTCCGACAAGACGGAGGTTGAATTTAGCGTTGGCTCCCTGTGAAGAAAAGCAGATACTGCATTGCTTTTGGTGAATGATGCATTTCTTAAAGCTTAAGCTGGCTCTGTTTCTTCAAGCTGTATGAAATTAGAATCAGTCTTACTGCTGAGAGCCCTCTGTTCTCCATACCCAGGGAAAGAAGCTTAGCTATATAATCCCTTCAGCCCTGGTCACGAGACATGTAACTTTTCTGTAAATAGATTGACAAGCTCGGTTATTCTTCCAGTCATAATGGAAAAACCCTGCGGTGGGTCTGGCTAGGAGAAGCAATCTTTTGGTAAGAAGTTTTTGGCTTTCTGCCTAGTGCTGCAAGATAGTGCAGGAGAGAGGGACAGCACCGCTTGTGTATGGGCGTGGAAGTTCTGCCTTCTCCTGGTCCCTGCCGAGGGGAGATGACTGACCCGCCCAAGCCGGGACGATGGACCTGTCAAAAAATCCAACCTGTAGTTTAAGAGCTCACATCGCAGAATGACACATTGTGACATTGTGCAATTTCCAAACAGAAGTGGGACCTGACATTCTGCACCGACTGGGTTAAACTGGCCCTGAGTTGTGGCCTCTGAGCCTATTGGAAGTTGGCGCACTTGGGAGCAGAATGAAATGTGATACACATCTGACAGCTCCAGGTGAAGGGAAAGCCCAAATCCCAGCGTACAGATAAACCTTCTAGACAATAGAGGAGAAGTGGTGATACCTAGGTTAGCAGCACTGGTGTGTGAGATGGCGATGGCGCGCCAGAGTGCCAGACAAACTTTAAAATCAGCTGCAACATGGAGAAGAAAAAATGAAGTGGGATTCCTACATCTCTGCCTTACAAGGGAGCCCACTGAACTACGTCTCTAACGTCACTGGTTTTTCCAGTAGTAAAATGATTACACCGGGGCAACAAGCTGCATTCCCTGCCTAGCTGGTGCTGCGTTCTGCCCCCACAATCAATCTTGAGGTGAAGAATTTCTAATAGCAACTTTTGAACAGGATAACTTTGCTTTTCTATTCCTGAGGGTTGTTACGAGCAGTTCTTGCTGCAGCCCTGCCCCGTGTCAAGACAAAAAGTATTCCATGGTAGATCCCAAGGAAACAAGAGTGATCCTGGATCTAAGTACAGTGGTCTGAGTTGGCCGGTTACAGAAACCCCTGCAGCTATGCAGGAGACAACAGGCTTCCTTCTGCCAGGCGTTATGGCACGCAAAGCAAAGCCAGAGCTGCCGGATTGCAGGGAATGGTGCCGGTGGGGAGAGGTGGATGTCTGACCACAAGAAATCCTCTGCACTTGGACTGGCGGTGCTGTGGGGGAGAGTGCTATCTCCCTTCAAAGGCTCAGTGATTTTTGACAGTGTTATCCGCCCATTCCAGATCTGTGTGGAATAAGCCCTGCTGCACATAGCAAAGCAGACAGCCGCAGGACATAGGAGCAATGGAAGGGACAATGACACCAGGCCTTTAGTGGTGTCTGCTGGCTGAAGAGAGTGGGGTGAGAAATTTCTGTGTGATGTTCTTGCAAGATGGCATTTCCATCAAACTGTAGGCCTGAGACAGGCTGTGATTGTGGCTTCCTTCTCACCTGGACCACCAGAGACATCAATGTCTGTTAGAGACATAAGTTTTTACAGGGGGGAAAACATTGCTTTCTGTGTCTTGAAACAGTATCAGTCTGTAGTGGAAATACTAAATCAGGGACTGAACCAGTGATGGAACACCTTGTGGGAAGGCAGGACCAGCACAGGTGCATGCAATGCAGTTGAGTAGCCGGAAGGTCTGGAACCAGGATCCATCCCTTCCCAGATCTCATTGAAGGATTGGCAGTGGAGATGATAGTGTTTGCCACTGGGAATCCATACCTACCTGACGCCTTCTGAAGGTAAGCAGCTCTTTTATTATCATGGCGCTTTCTGTCCCATGATAGCATTACAAAATCCTATCCCTACAGAGTGATGTCTTATGTTGTACTAGGAGGCTTCTTGAGAAATTTGAACTATTAGCTGTATTTTCTGCTTAGTTTATAGTCTAACATGCAGCCCTGAGTATTTTGTCGGTCTAGGTGATACGTATGTATTTGGTCTCCAAATAAAAGAGATAGGTTTTGTTTCTTCTCTTCTGCAGCAACGTCCTCAGTGACAATAGTGAGATAGACGCAGCGCTGCTTTGAAAGCAGTCATTTATCTGCTTGCTGCAGTGCAGTTGGAGGGAGGTGGAAGAAGCTGGTGGGTTTGATAGAGTACAATACAGTCAAAACAGCACAATACTGAGAACAGTTGAATAAGAGCGCTCTTTCCAATGACAATACAGTTGTCAGATGCATTAATCTCTCTTGTCACTGCCTACTCTGAGACTAAATCAGGTGGATGCCCTTCCTGCAGTACTTAGGTTAGGGATCCCTATAGCAACCATCACAATAGTATCTGTGAGTGTCAGGGGTCAGCTAGATATTGGGCTGAGATGGATGGAGTTGTCTTTTTTTTTCCTTTGATCAGTTAGTTTGGTGCTGGCATAATTTTTAAGATGACCCAAAAATATGACTCCAATGGGAATGATATTTCAAAGCATGAATTACAGACTCTGGTTGTAACATAAGCTCTAGAAGGATAATACGCTGCCATAAATACAATGTAAGGGCACAGACAGAATTGTTTCCAGAGGGCTTATGAAAGGTACGGACGGAAACTTAAAGCACTTAAAGTTGCTAAAGCAATTAGGGCTTCAGTAGTTATCTAAAGGGAATATGTTCCCAGACTTCATGCTGACAGCAACTGAACATAACCAACAGACAAAGGAAATGCATGAAGACTTTTCAATTTCAGAGGTCCTCGAGAGGTGGGCTGCAGATTCGGGACCGGTGCTCTTCTCTCTGACATAACGGTCAGACTAAATGATGTATGACAAACTAAATATGCCTTAGAGTCCAAATTCTCTGTGGCAATGGTCCTGGCAAGTATTTTGCTTGCCCTAAGCTTTCTGGGAATGCACATGAAACAATTCAGTTCTAAAAAAAACCTGAAGGCCTGACACTTGCCACTCTGATGTCCATTTCTATCTTTGTGAAAACAGGGCAGGAAAACTCACAGTTTCCACGTACCTGATCTGAATCATTGACAGTAATCTTCAGCCCTCTCAAGATTTCACCCTCTGGGGGATGCTCGTACATGGTCAGTTCAAATCTGTTCTGGGGACCGCTTTCTCCATAAAATGTTGGCGGATGGTTGTTGAGGTCGACCACCCTTATAGTCACTATGGCAAAGGCGTATGCTGAGACATCCCCTTCTGGGCTGACTTCTGATGCCTGGACAAAGTTAAGAGAGAGAAAAGAGATGAAGGAATATTCCCTTCTTAGCTGCAGCTGGCTCCTTCCTTAGTTCTATGTTTGGGTCTTGTTTTGCATGCACAAATCCACCTAACAGCAGTTTTGTACAGGCATTCACAGTCTTATATTGCTGTAGAAATCTCAGTCCACTTTGCAGTGGAGTTCACGATAATTAGAAAGTGTGGTAATAATTCAGTCTCAACCAGCTCTGATGGAAAAAATTCTTGTTTTGTTCTTGAGCTTAGTATTTCACCCTAGGTAAAAACAGTCCTCTAAAGACAGATAACTTGATACAGACAAGATAATTGCTTGCCCAAAGTATTTATGAAATGGAAAAGGAAGATGAACTTGACATTTGCTGAGTACCATAGGTATTTAACTGGCAGAGTTCTGGAAGGGCAGCAGCTTTGGATCTCTGAGAGGTCAGATGTACTTGAGGTATTCAGGCTGCGTGAAATTTGAAAGAGCAAAATGACAGTTCTGTTCTCGGATTTGCAATTCTGCTTTGCCATCTGGATAGACTTCATTTAAGCTGGGTATAGGTTGTATAGATGAGCAAATCTAGCTGCTGTTTTTATTAACTGAAAGACAAAATCTGTTTAAATTAAACAATTGCAACATGCAGACTAATTCACCTCCTTCAATTTAAGGTGTTTTTCCTGTCAGGACAGAAACTGTTGGAAGAAAAAACCACATCCCTAATGGGCATGTTTATGCTGAAATGGCTTAGAAACAAAGGTGCTGGTCTGCTGAACCCCTCTTAAAAATACCACACTTGCTGTCTTCCCCTTAAAATATTAGGCTGTTCACTCATTTGGCATTACAGCTCTGCAACATAAAAATGTGATGGATTTCCCTAAAAGATTGTTGTCTTTTTCTGAGGATGGAAAGAAATATAATCATCTTGATGTAGATGCAGTTAGAACTGATAGCAGTAGCCAAGGTGCAACATTACTTTGACTAGATATTATGGGGGGGTTGTAAATTATTTCTCAACTCCCATATGTATCACTGTATGGATTGCAATGCCTCTGGTCACACCGAGATAAGGAGCCACACCAACAACTAGAGGGAGATTTCCCCACTAGGGCTCCTCCAGAAAGGGGCGGTAGCAGGGTAAATCGAGTGCAGCCAGGTCCCTCAGTACATACCTGAACTCTTAGTTCATACACTTCTTTCTTGAGCTGATTTGGACTTTTTATAACAGAAATGGCTCCGGTGGTGTTGCTGATTTCAAAAGAACCTTCACTTCCTGCAATAAACCAAGATAGTCTAGTTAAGTGCCGTTCTTCCTGTTTCTTGAACCAGCGCGATATTCTTAATGAAGTGTGCAGTTAGTATATTTGTCTGTATGTGTATCCACTCTGATAGGCTATTTTTAAAAAGTGAAGCATTTCTATGCCTGCTTGTAGTGTGATAAGAGCACAGATGAGGGCCAACAAGAGTTTCCTCTTCTAGGAGCAGCTAGGCAGAGCTCTGACCCCACAGGCAGCTGCCCTTGCTTTTCTCTCTCCCATGCTGGCAAGGTTCCCTTTGAGCCTCAGCAACTGGGCCTGCACATTTGGTTTTCCTTTCTGTTATGCTGCTGCCTTTACATGTTGGTTTAGATAAAAAACAAAAACAGAAACAAAAACCACTACTCATTTTAATTAGCAAATGCATACATAATTAAGCTTCTGTGCAACAAGAACATTGCTCTTGCTATTATCAGCTAAGGTGAGAAGTCTGACAATTTATCCTAAAGAAGCACAGTCACTCATTCTGTGAAGAGCGGCTTGGGAGAAGCATCTTCTGGCTTTAAACACCCAATTTGTTAAACAACACTCATTTTCTTGCAAGGCGCCAGCATGAAAGGGGACTTAGGAGAATCTAGGGTAAAGCCTAGGCTCTTTTCACAGAGGTTGAGACAGCTCCACAGGCAGGACGAGGCTGCAGGCTGACTTTGGTCCATGCAGTGTAACTTCCATCTTTCCGAACAGAAAACCAGTTACAGGGCTTTGATTCTTTTCCACTTGGTGAATTTGCCCTGCTCAGAGAGGGAACGGCTGGCAGCTGGGAACCCATCCTACCCTATGTGCCCCAGTCTCACCCATAGGATTCTCCACAGGTTCTGCTTTGTTGCAGAGCCTATCACTGAAAGGATGTGAGGAAAAAACCCTTAAAATGAAGGAACTTGAGGCTTTTAGAAAAGAGGATGATCATCTGAAAGCCCAGTCATTTTTATTTCTCTCTAACTTGATTCCAACGCTTATTTTTAAACCATATGATAGAGTCCCATCTTGCTAATACCTGTAGTAACTGCAACTTCTTTAAAGTATATTAGACACAACATTGAACAGATTGACACATCTAGGGGGTCAATTATTAACATACATTGACCTGGAAAGCACATCCTGACTGAGAAGGAGCTGAAGTCAATAGTAGTTTCAATTCACAATACCACATTGTCTATTTTTAGGGAGAGAAACTGATAACTCAGGGTATGTAGCAATGCACATGTTCCTCCATTTTGCATTTTTAGAAGGTTAGAGTACTTTCTAAAGTTATCCTACACACTCTAGATTAAAAAAAAGTCTTAAAATAAATGATTTCCCATTTGCTGATTCCCCCTCCCCCCTCCCCTAGCCTTCTCTCTCCAGGTAGAAGAGTCCCAATTTTTTCAGCCTTCACTTGTATGGGATGTGTTCCAGGTCCCTCATCTTTGTGGCCCTGTGTGGAATCTCTCTAGGAGTATTCTGTCTTTAACTGGGGACACCAGAGCTGGACATGGTACTTCAGACATGGCAGAGTAGAGAGGGAGGATCACCTCCCTTGACCCAATGGCTAAGCTCTTTTTAGTGTGCCCCATACACCATACACGTATCTTTGACAGCTTCCCTGGTTCATCTGCCTTCACATGTTTTCCTTCAACTGTTTTTCCCCTTGTTTAGCTTCTTTCTGTAGCACTTCTATGTTCTCATTCCTCATTCTCCGCCTTTCTTTTTACCTTTCCTCATTTTTCATCTGTTTTCCTATTCTGCAACCCCTATTCTACCTATTCTCTTGCATCAGGGGAGAAGGTACTTATTAAGCATGATCCCATCCCACATCAAGATAAAATCCGAACTTCAACCCTCTCCATCCACTCTAGACATTGCATTTTAAACAATGTAACACACTGAAGAATTTCCTGAATAGCTCTGCAACTGAACTTTGCATTTTTTGCATGAAACTGTGGGGTCCTGGGAGTCTGGGTGCCCAGTTATTGTGGAAGTCCTGTTTTGAAGGAAGAAAGAACCAAATGAAACTAAAGATTTAGCTTGGAGCTAAGCAGTTGACTTCACCTGCTAATGAGTTGTCAATTCAGGTAAGGTTTGTATTTATGCCATTGAAAGACAGGCTACAGACACCCTCAGTAGACCTAATGAAACGCATTACTGCTTTGATAATATCTACTTTCTTACAGTACGGTTGACAGATTCTTTTCACTAGTAAATATCATTTCTTCCAAGAAACCAGAGATTTGGCAGTTTATGAACCCCAATGAAAATGTTAATAAGAACAGTCCTCTTATTGCCATGTCTGGGTCTCTCAATGCATTTTCTCATTTCCTTGATCAAACTGTAGAGATGTTCAGTGGCACTGAATGCATCTCCCTTCATGTTTTCTTAAGCGACAAGCAGGCTACTGATGCTTAACAAATGAACTACACTAACAACTCCAAGCACAGTGCTGCGAAGCGGATACTGAAACTCAGTGAATCTTACCTTGCTTTTTGGTAGGCATGGCCCTGGAGTTGTTTGAGATATTTGGTGCTATTCCATGTGAGTTTGTTACAGCATTATTAACCTGTAGGCTCTTCTCTCTCTAATTTCATGTCACATCTAGATTTGACTTCCCTTCAGATTTCGTATAAGCCAAGTCTACTCACCGTTCACGATGCAGTAATGAATGCTGTTTGGCTTTCCTCTGTCTCCATCAAGTGCAACAACAGTGAGGACCTCAGAGCCCTGGGGTGAAATAGGGAATTATGGTTTGTGTGTTGAGATCAAAAAGCAATGAAATTACAATGGTGCATTAATAAACTGAATTTCAAAGAGTCCTTCTGCAGTAAGGCATAGAGGGAATGGTGGTACTTTTGCTCATGATGCATGGGGAACCCCCTGAGGTTCATTGATTTCCAGTGAGAAAAATGTTTCTGCGAAGAGACCGTGCCTGTTTGCCTAGTGCCCAGCCTCTTGTCCCTCTCTTCAGATTTGGAGTAACAGATCTGAGACCTGATCGCTTCAGTTTGCTACCAAGATGGTAAGTGGTAGTTGCTGGTTCCATGGTAAATATGAATTTGTGTGCACCTGATAGTTATTTCAAGATCTATGTGTAACTCTCAGAATAAGTCTATGTTCCATACATTCCAAACATCTGCAAAGAACGCAAGTGTTACTCTGCCCGGCAGAAATGTAACAGCCTATGAACTGAGCTGCTGTGTACTGTCACACATTTGCCCCTGAGGAGGAGAACGAGGCAAATGGGGTGCTAACACACTGACAGTAGTCTAAGGTTAGGTATTTCATAAGTAGATAGCATTTCTTATCCTATGTATGAAGAAAATTTTAATTAAAACATGTATCAGGGTGAAAGTTGGTCCCTATTCAGTACTGTGCCTCTGCTTAGGTAGAAAGAAAACTAATGAGTTTGCAGCTTTGGGAATGATACGTGTCTGGAAGCATCACCAGCATCAAGACTACTGTATGGCTAAAGTGCCATGATACACTGACTGGATAAACTCTACACTCTCTTTTGAGTAGATCTGACAGTAGGACTTTCTGAGATGGTGGCACAGCCAGGAGATCTCTGTATTCCTTAGGCTGTCTGTGATATATAAGGAGGTGTATCTTCAGCAGTAGGCATAGCAACAAACACAGTTTTAGGACAACTCGTACGTGGTTCTCCTCAGTTTGCCCCTGCTTTCTTAGTATTCTGGTGCATTTGGACCTGGGAGGATTTCCTGGGCCCTTCCTACTGCCTAGCTGAGCAGAAAGTACCCTGCGCTACTTGGTGTCAGGTTCACCTTGGCCCAGATGAGATATTGAGAGGATAGTGCAGCAGCCCAAAGCACACGTTTATTTTGGCTGAAACGTGAAAGACTGCACTTCTGCAGGTCAAAACCAGCACTTACTGCAAGCGTATCCTCATAGACGTATCCATAGTAGGGAGTCCCAATGAACATGGGAGGAGTGTCCTGAACATCCTCCACGTTGATGGTGACAGTTGTTGTGGCTGAGAACACTTTGTTGTCTCCCCTCAGCTTCCCACCGCCATCCTAGAAGAGAAGTCGCTGTCAGATCCCTCTGCTGAAGTATGCAGGCAATTTCAGGGGAAAATTAAACAGGTGAATATGACCGAAGTCTTGTGTAGCGTAAGTGTAAGCATGGTAAAGCACAAACCCAGGAGTTGTGTGACAGCCACAGCATATAAACAATCTCTAGGGACCTTACCACCATTGGCACTGTGCTGGTGGTACAGCAATGCCAACTAGAGAAATGCCTCACGGTTTTGGAAGCCACAGCTCCGGCTGGAGGTCACTGGTCATGCTGGTGTGAATTGTCCTGGGCACCTGCTGTGCCCATTCTGAAAGTTCTGGATTTTGGAAGAGATTTGCTCCTTATTGCCCAAAAGTAGCATTTAACCCAAGTTCTGTTATTTCTCTTCAAATGAATCCTGGCTAAATAAATAAATAACAAAGTCCATACATTTTTCACAAAACAAGAAACGTAAAGCCACTGTAAGTAGCAGTGAAAGTATTCTCCTTCCACACATGCGGCCACCAGCCTGACAGCTCTCTGCAGGATCCTGGGAGACATTACTTCAGAGTCTGAATTTTTAATGCCTGTTATGAATCCTCAGCCATGCTGCAGGCGCTGCACTACTGAGAGTGACAGTGGGGAGGAAAGAATTGCAGCAGCATTTGTGGGATTGGTGTGAGATCCTGCCACAACACAGTGGAGACATGGAAAAAAGAAATATCCACAGACTCTTCCAGAGCTCTGCCTCTGTTGTAACATGGTTGTGTACCAAGCAGCACCGGGGAGTCCAAAGAGACTGATGCGTCCCAAAGCTGGGGCTGCGTGCAACAGTGTTTGCTTCTGAGCGAATCTCAACGTGTAAGGGTGACTTGTTGCATAGGAGCTCACCGTCCTGGTGCTGGAGCCTGAGCTCAGTGTGGGGAATTCGCCCCTGGCCCCCCTCTCCATGGTACCCTCCATTCCTTCAGACGTGGCAGAGGGAGTGACTGCTGTCTCAACAAACTTTTAAGTCACGCTTCTGTTTGACCTAAGCTGCCTTACTCAAATACAATCCTTCACTTCCTCCACTTGCAGAAGAAAGCTTTGTACCTTGGCTACCACGACAACAAAATGCGTTCTTGACTTCTCGTAGTCCAGGGTGATCCCCGATTTGATGCGCAGGACGCCGCTGTGACGGTCTATTGTAAACTTATTAGCATGGATGTTCTAGAGAAAAATGAAAGGAGAAAAGGCAGAAGATTACAGGTATGGAAACAAGATTGCCGTAGGGATTAATCTTTTATTTCATCTGCTAAAGGAAAAGACTAGAATAATGATACATCATTCACCCAAACTGTATCTGATGCATTTCACCTCTGTGTGTTTATGAAAAATTCATGAAAGAGTCATGAGCCTTTCGTTATTCAGAATAAATCAGTTACTTCAATGTGGGTTTTCAAAATCTTTTCCATAGTGAATTGACACCTAAAAGACATCTGACTTTCAAAAGGGCCTAAAAATGTCTCCCTCCCCTTTCGGCGAGAGTCCCTAACTGTGCACCTTTGGTTTTCCATATCTATGGTCACTGTCACACAGTCTTTGTCCTTTTGGTGACATCACTACCTGCCCACACCAGACTTTACAAGAGTGCTCTTTCTGAGCAACTTAAGAATTGTGCGAAAGGATGCAGCAGCATATTTTTAATAAATAAACTTATTTAGTAACCTTTCTGTTACACAAATATATTAGCTAGACCTGGAAGCTGGAAATAGCTGTTCCTGGCTTCGGAGTCTGTTGGCTTACTGGAAAAAGCCCTGTGCAAAACTGAATCCTGCACATATTGCATTTTAATTGGCTCATAATTGGTGAAATCAAAACTAAATTTCAACAAGGTGTTCTTTCTCAGTGTGCCCGAGCTCTTAACCAGATTACCTTTAATGCTATGTAAATATATTCCAACTCGTCTCCATACTGTGTCTAAGGTACATACTGCAACAAATTGGTTTGTGTTTTTTTTTTTTTATTCCACTGCCTATTGCATAAGAGAAACTACCGCTCATCTGGAGGAAAATGCTTACTGAAATAATGGATTTGAAGGGCATTGTGTAAAAAGTTGCCCTTTTGGCACACAAACGTCTGTCCAGCTTCAAATATGAAAGCTTTCTGTTCTTCCCCAGAGGGCAACACCAAGAAGGCTGGTTGCAGGTGGGCACTGGCTTCATCAGAAAGAACAGGTAGTACTCTATAATGCAACACAGGTTTCAATTTTGCACCAGCCTGCTGCATCCAAGTACAGACAGGGTTTCCATGCACTTTTCCTTCTGAAGGAAGCTATATCGTGCTTTTGATATCCCATCTGCACACAGGGTTACAAATTAGACTTGCTCTCCCATCGGGCCAAAGAAGGGGCCAACAGGAGCCGTGCTGTGATGTGCCAGAGTGACAGTGGAGACCCCAGCTCCAACGCCTGCCTGCCAGGCTGTGCTTGACTGCTTCATGGCAGACAATACCCATTTGCCAAAGCTTATTTTCTTGTGCATGCTACAGAATTGGCCCTGTAGACACTGGTAGCAGCTCAATCCTCTGAATCTTAAATGAGAGATGAGTCTTAAAAGTACAGATAATACTTTACCTGCAAGAAGTAGGTGATACTTCCTCCAGAACCGGTGTCTCTGTCAACTGCCTCAATCTTAAAGATACTGCTGCCAGAAGGAGAGTTCTGTGACCAAAAACAGATACTACAGTGAGACAGAAGTGGCAAACCAGCAGAACTACAAGAAGTGAAAATGGAGCATGTAAGGAGACAGAGAAAGAGTGCTCGTAGAAAGAATATGAATGAATGAGGGAATCAAACAGGCAAGAGATTAAAAATGGAGGAAACTGGAGCAAAGCAAAGCTTTCTGGAATAATCAGGAGGGAAAACTGCTAAAAGAGAGTACCCTATTTCCACTGAAACCAATTCTAAAATCACATTGTGGAACTTACCCACTAAGTAGCACGCCTTAAGTCCGAACTGACTTTGGCCAAACCCCATAAGAATGCGAGTTAGTCCTCCACATCTTGTGACTTTACTGGAAACACACCAGCTCGCTCCTCCTTACATTCTACTGAAATACAGTATGCAAAGAAACTTCACCAACCTCTGGGACTTGGACTATGTAAGGTGTATTGATGAACTCTGGGCTCTCATCATTAGCATCCGTTACAAGGATCCTCACTTTCTCCGAAACCTGGATTGGAATGTGAAGAACATGTTATGACTGGAGCTGATTTACGTGAACCTGTTCATTTTCCTACTAACGTGCGGCCAAAGGTAATGAAAAGATGTATTGTAATACAATGTCTTTGCACTAACAAAACTGAGCACATAAAAGAAAAAAAAAAATCAGAAAATCACAAAAACCAGAATAACTAGCCGTGTGGAGAACACCCAGGTATCTCTAAAGTGAAAAAGGAGTCTTAAAGCACTTCATAGGTTATAGATTGGGGCTAACTTACAAAAGTCATTTTTTTTCTTTGTGGCATTCAAACTACCATGATGCATTTTACAGGAATTCATCAAAGACCATGTAAAAGTTGGCACCTGACAGCCTAGAGCATTAATTAATATCTTATTCAATATCATCCAACCAGGTCAACAGCACGCAGAATTTGGATGTATGAATACATTCTTTTAATATTTAACAGACTACCCTGAGCAATCTGCCTTTTTAAAAAATATGGAACCAAAATATATTTGATCAACCAAACTTTCCAGATTTCTCCAGAGTGGGCACGTGGATGCAATCCCTTTAGTAGCTATTTACAGAAATGGTGAGAGCCATTGCCTCTGTAGGATGTAGTTGCACCCCAAACATGGGATGATCTCACTCCCCTTGTTTGAGATGAGGAAGATCTCTAGAGTTATCTGGTTTTGTGGATAGTTAGAGGGTCACATTTTTGTGACACCTCCAGAGACGAAGCCCAGGTCCTTTTACAGGCAGTCTAATACCTTGACCACCAGAATATCTATCAGTAAATTAAAAATGCCAAGGAAAATTGAAGAACTAGGACTGGTTGCTCATGCCTTATATAAGACCTTAATCATTAGACACGATCAAAGTTCAGCAGCAGACAAGAAAACCACCTTGGCCTCAGCAAGTCTTCTTAACATCACACCAGAGAAACACTGCAGGGGTGGAGGCCAGTCAGCTTTTGCACGTCCAATTCTGGTTCCAGTTCTGTTACAGTTCTTGCAAAAAAAAAAAAACAAACAAACAAAAAAAAAAACCCTTCAGTTCTTTCTTAGTTACGCCTCCCACTGAGCTGACAGTGAAACTTCAGGGGTAGCTGAACACATTTATAAAGCAAACTGCAAGTACAGACCAGCTTATGTAGATGCATTCTGGCCAAAGTTAGTAGTCATGAACAACAGTAGCAACTGCAAATGGGGCAGCTGACACAACCCCTGACCCCTCATGGCCATATGGCTGCCTGGGCATGCACACTCTCCTTTGCCTGCCTGCAGCTCCAGACAGACGCAAGAGTGCAGACATCTCTCTGCTCTGCACACAAATGTGAGAGAAAATGGGTGCTCTGGTACTGCTATGACAATAGCGAGTGCTTTTCTTTACAAATGAGCAAAGCCTAAAGAAAACCTTAATGCTAGACTTCAGCATTAAGGTGGAGGTCTTCATCAGAGTGATTTTACATATGTAACATTTTTTAGCTGATAAGAAGTTGTCCTTTTCCCCATGGGAAACACTGATTAATAATCATCTTTTTGTTCTATTTAATTTCTTCAACTGCAATTACAGTTTAAAAAGGAAATGTTTAAGCCCACCACAAAACATTCAGTCAGAGAATGCATCAGTTTTTGAGTTTTCAGTGAAACAAAACTGAACTTGTTTCAAAAGAAACAGTTGTTACCAAGCAATTCTCACTCTAAGCAGAAACGTGCTCTACCATTTGTGCTGCACATGAGGAACATGGTAACTCTTCACAGAAAACCAGGTCTCTCACTTTGCAATGTACAGCTTGCTCTTATCAGGGCTGACAAAGTTATCAGTGATAATTTTGTGCTTTCTTCTCATAAACATTTACAGCACTGATGAGAAGATCCCAAAGGTCCATACTCTGATGCTATGAGCAGACTCACGGACCGAGGAAAGGGGAGCAAAACATCACACTTTAAATTACAGCTGCAATTCCGATGTGCCGCTGTAAATCAAAAGCTTGAGAAGAAAACCCACAGTGTTTAGCACCACCTATGACAAAATGCATATTGCCAAGCAAAAGACCAACCGGCTTCAGTTGCATACTTTAACCATACGTGTCTGCATACTGACCAACTGGTGTGTCCTCGGAAAGGCTGAGGAGTGCCATGTTCCCATTTGTGCTCCTGGCTCCATTATCGAAGAAATAGGGGGCATAATTTGCCTGAACTGCAATTAAAACAGAAGGCACAGAAAAACACATCATCGGTGGCAGTTACCTGGCTGTTACCCGACTCTCAGTAAACACGAGCTCCATTGGGAATACTACGAGGGCACAACATATCCATTGCTGCAGTGCACTTTCAGGGTTCTATCTGCACGGGCACTTTCAATACACTCGCTTCTACCTGCTACTCTGTGTTCACACAGCAGCCAATGAAGAAGAAGAGCATGTAAAAAAACATCAAGGGAACCAAAGCAAGCAGCAGGACCTCTCTAAGAAGTCTCAGTCAGCTCTGGGCAAAACGTTAACCCTCCTGGCAATGCCCACACGCGTCTCACTGAGCTGCACACGCAGATCTGAAGCTCCCGGTGCCTCAGCACCTCTCCCAATGCTCTGAACACATTCTGCCCTAACGTTATGCCTACTGCATGAGCAATTAGCCAGAATTAAATTGTTACTTACTTCCTGCCAGACAACAGCAGAATTTAAGAAAACAAAAAACAAAGAATAGGTTAGTGGTGTGCCTACTGATGCCATTAGCTTCTAAACAGCCCATCTGAAACAAATCTATGTAAGCACAGAGGGCAACAATTGCACAGGGGTCAGCAGTTGGCAGGGAAAATATTTCAGGACAACATTACCACATCAGTAAGGATTACCACAGGATTTAAGGTTATGCTGTACCCTGCTATATTCTTATTTAAAGGGATCATTGTACTCACCCAGAGAAACGTGCACCACACTGAGAAATAAGGAGGGGACAAAATGCCTTACATGCTTCATCCCACTGCAGAAGGGGACAATTTCTTCTCTGTTTTAAGGATTTTAATTGTTTTTCTCTGAAATGTCCAGGAAAGCGTCCTTCAGGCTGATGCAGTGGAGAAATGTGCAAGAGGCAGTAACAGATGCTAAGATGTTAAGCGGATGACACGTCTTAATTTCTAAGGAATTTAAAGAAGCTCCTTCCTACCACGTAATTAGACCAATTACTTTGCAGGGAGCTGTGGGACTCGTTTCTCAGGCATGATTTGAAGGAAGCAGTGCACCTCTTAGAGGTTTGGCTGTGCTATCCAAACATGAAAGTCAGAGAAAAGGTGAATCTGAAGGTTGCTTTCTTTCTGATGTCTCTAATTCCCTAAGCCAGCCCTCTGCTTTTAAGAGCCGGAAGAGGTTTCTTTTTGTTTCAGTTATAGAAATTACAACAAACTATAAAGGAAGAAAATCTAACACAAGCAGCAAAGAGTAAATACTGTTGTTACTGGATTAAAGGAAACAAACCGCATTTATGATGGCAGAAAATACTTAAAATTGCACACTAAAAATATAGAAATCAAAAGCTTTTTTTTTTTAATTGTGAGTTGGCACCGTTATTAAATGCTCTGCACATAAAACCTGTCTGTGTTAGTTTAAACTATATTTATCATCCAGTTAATTATAGAGCTAAAAAGCAGCCAGTGTGAGAAGCTGTTGACAAAGTTGTTGGCTGCTGGAAGAAACTCCCTCAGTGGTGATGCCTCTGGTCAGGGATGCTTATAAAGAGGGTTAGCTGTTTGGATGTGACCTGAGGCAAATGATTTATTCTTCTGCTTTGTGAAGGTTTCTGCAGCTATCAGATAACCTGGCTGAACTACAGTGTCTCTGCTGTCAAGTGTATAATATTTAAGATCTTTAATTTGTTTTGTCATTTTCAGTAGAAAAATAACCAAAGCAAAGCTGTTTTACTATCCCACTAGCCTGTTTTGAAAGGAAATGTGCTCTTTTTTGTGTGGTTTTGAATACTGGGTTGTGGTGAGAAAAACAAATACCAGCATGCAATTGAAATAAAAGAACAGGCTTTTACAAGAATAAAAGCAGAAGGATGAGTTCCTGTTAATGCTGTTTACTGTTTGTGTTCTATTTATTTGCATAAATGAATTTTGTGGAGGGCATCAGGAGTATTGGAAATTCAGACTCAGATTTCCAAGCCTTTTTTTTTTTTTTTTTCCCCATCACTTGCAGCATAATTCACGTGACTGTTGCATTTAATTGCTTGGGAGTGGCCACTCAGAAACTGAGACAAGCTGAGAAATGAGTGGATGTTAAGAGTAATTCTTAATGTTGTAATGCCAGGGGTGGTCTGAGTTGGCAGAGATAGTATTTAAAAAGCAATAATGATTTTTCTGAGCAGTTTTTCCCTTCTTCTCAGTAACGGGTACATTGCTCACTTTTTAACTCAACTTTCTCATTCAGTGTTTCCCCACATCAGTAGCATGAATCTGGAGGGTTCTTCTGAAATGATACAAATACGTATGAAAGGCTGAAAATAAGCAAGAATGATTATCCTCGTATCTTTCATACGCTGTCATCCTAACATAAATCCACTGGAATTCAGGCAGTTCTCATTTCTCCCATTGAGAAGATGGTGCTGTTCTCTTGGAGAACTTCAGAACGTTAAAACTGATAGATTTCACAGCTGCCTTGCCCTTCCCAAAACTTACTGACGTGAAGATTTCTAAAGAGCACATGTAGCTCTGTATGCTTTTCCAGTACAAAATGAAGTTTGATATAGTTGAGTTAGAGATGTAGTGTGGGCTTTAATTCCAATTGCCTCATTAGTCCATGCCTACATCATTCAATATACTTCAGTTGTCACGTGTATGTAGCAAAACCTAAAGTGTGTGGGAAACAAATCTGACCATTAAATTTGCATAACATAGTTGTGTTGCTCTAGACTGTGGGCACGGGGAGAAACAAAACATACACTTCAGAAAACAATCTACAAATACAAAGAATCAACAGATTAAGCTGGATAAATGTAGTTCAAGAACTAGCAAGGAAAATCTTTTACTCCTTCCTCGTGGGAGTTCTATTTCAGATAATTGGGCCGTAGAGTGTAAAAAGCTGAACTACCAGCTTTGAATTGTATAATGCTTATGGTAAGAAGAAGATAAGAAGCATTAGGACATTTATTGAGGTTGATTAAACATGTCAACGAAGTGGAGGAGAAATCCACAAAACCCATATGAGTGCAAACACAGTATTATTAGATAAACCAATAACTAAAAATAATTTCAGGTACGCATCTCGCTTAGTAAAACTACACTTATTTTCCATTTGCAACACTATGGATTAAAGGCATAAAGACTTTAATTTCAAGGAGAGTTAAGCTGAATACAACAAGAACTCAGGCATTAAATACTTCTTATATCACATTTTTGTTTAAAACAGGAATTAAATAGTGTAGAGGAAATGCTAATTCATGGTCTGAAGCAGTGATTGAGCACCTGGCGGGAAGGCAGGGCCAACCCAGCAGAGCTCAGGTGTACGCAATACACCTGAGTGACGAGAAGGGCTGGAGCCAGGATCCACCCCTTCCCAGCCCTCATTTAAGGGTTGAAAGTAGAGGTGAAGGTATCTTGCTGGAGAT